AACCCCAATGTGGAGCTTCTTCCTTGCAAGCAGTGTGAGATACAGAATGGGCAGAATCTTCCCTGAGGCCCAGTGAGGATCCACCTGCCATCCCCACTCAGTCCTGTGGATTCCCCTCAGTTTTTCTGCCCTCTGCCTGCCCATCAAGGCCACTTCGTACTTACGTAAAGAGCACGCAGAAGGGGGAGCTCATCAGAAGCATCCTGTCTCTATCCACACACCAGAATGGAGGTGAGTCCTGTCTCCAGCCTGGCGCTGGGATCCAAGATGTGTAGAAAACTTTTCCCTCTTCAATGCTCTAGGTCCAATAGGACAGTCCCTACTTTACTCAGCACCCACAAACATGGACAGAATACAGAAACACAAAAGGCTAAATTCACATACGCACTAAATTTCCTTCTGCAGTGTGCAGGAGAGGGTTACCAGGTCTTGGGGAAGTCAAACCTCATCTCATAGCAGTGATCTCTGAGGAATAACATGCAATAATCTGTGTATACTTTTATTTTTAATCTTTAGCTGGTACATCATGAGGCTGAACAAAGACATAGACGTGTTCAGGATTCTACCGAGGGTGCATCTGTCTCCAGATGAAAGGATCCTGATCCTTCAGCACATCAAACCGACTGCAGCTGGGATGGAAAAAAGTTTTAAATCACTGCGATCAACACAAGTTTTGCACCAAAGTACAAATGCACATACCATGATTTCCTCTGGGTGACAGGCAAATCCTGTTATTCTACTTATGAATGGGCCTCATTAAGTAGAAAAAAAATTGTTGGTACAACCTGTTCCTTTTTAAATTAAACATATTAAAGTTGATAGATACCCCTAATTCTCTGCTCAGCCTTTTATGCATTGCAATAACACTGCTCCCATTGTTAGGGAAAGTCTTGAGTTTGCATAATCTACTTTTCATTTCCCTGGCAGCTGCAGATCATTCTTAGTGACTAAATTAAAAAGTTTCTTTCAAGAATCCACCAGATCTCTTGTCCTTTTTCCTCCTGCACCTATATATTAAGAAGAAAATAAGAAAACAAAACCTTACCAACAAGCATTAAATCCTATCAGATCGGGCTGGAAGGTCACCTCATCCATCCCTCTGCCCTGAGGCAAAAATCAGCTCTTAAGCCATCTCTGACAGATGCTCATCTAACTCTAAAAAACACCCACTGATGATTTCACAGCCCATTCCTTGGCTTACCTCATGGCTACAAGTCTGACCTAAATGTCCCTTACCACAGTCAAAGCTCCACACTGTCCACACTGGACTCAGGAAGACTATTTCTCCTTGAAGAAGAGTATTTCTTCTCTCTTTGAAGCAGCTGTTCACATGTGTGTCAAGCCTTCCCATACTTTTCACTCCTTTTACAAGTGTATCCATCTACAACTTTCCTGAAACACAGCTCCATTCCAGAGCCCAGCACTCCTAACAGGCAAGTCAAACTGCTCCTCAGCCCACTTCTGCTCCTGCATTTATTCCTGTTGTATAGAGGGAGTGGAGAACGCAGGAGGTTGGGGTCTCAGCCTCCCTGTACGGGTAAGGAAGAGGTATTGAGATGACTCTAGGACAGCTTGTGGGCTGGCATGCACCAGTCACACCTGGTCATTGATGCCTGCTGGTAACATGGTGCTAGGCTGGTGCTGGCAGATGGGCTGACCAGAGCACACCCAGTTCCCAGGCAGGCAGCTGGATGCTCACACAACACATCCACGTCCAGATCAGCCACCCAAACCAGGCAAAGCTAGCAAAGCTCAGCAGTGTGGACTCTGTCAGTTTTGAGGATGACACTGTAAGTAGAGAGGAAGCACAGGGAGTGAGCTATGCGGGTAGGAAGTGGGGAGAAAACTAGGAAGTTTAGTAGAGGAAGGGGAAAGAATCTGAGAGGATAAATCAAAACGTGCAATGACCTGCGTTCCCCCACTGGCTCCTTGACTTTGACTTCAAAAGAAACTCCACTTCTCTGAAAGGCAGCAAAAACAAGGCATGAAATACCACAGTCAGTTCAGAGGCTTACAGCAGCATCTAGTACTAGCATTTTACATGTCACGTAATAAAGCGCTAAGCCTCGGAGGTTTTTGGATTTCCGTAACTAAGTTGACAGCTTTTATTATAGGACGTGGTTTTGCCAGCACCTAGCCCTGTGCACACAGACTTCTTGGCTCTTCTAGCCCAGCGAGGCTGCTCAGACCTGTGTTTCAGGCCCCTCTTTGTACACCCAACTAGTTCTGTGCTCAGCTCTCAGCACAAGGGAACCATCGGGGGCCAACCTGACACACAACCAGAGGTCACTGTAGGTGCCCAGGTCTGAAAATCCCCAAGGTGAGCAGGCAAGGCAAGCGGTGCAGCACTGCTCCTGACCGGGGAAGCAGACTCGACTGCGAAGGGACAGCCCTGCTCAGGATCTCATCTGGTGACTGATTTGCACTGACATGCTGTTCCAATCACAGCAATTTTGCATGATCCCAGCTGCTTTTCCGGATGTAGGGAAGAACAGCCCTGACAAATAGGATAGTAAAAGCACGCTAAGGACATTACTCCAGAACTCCCAGCTGTTACACTTGCGCTGTGAGAATTTAAAGGTATCTTGTTAAAGACGTAACACACTGTCAGCATTAACAGTTTCCTCCTGTTTTACCTCCTAAGTGCCCAATCCTACAGAGCTTTATTAATACAGGCTGAAATTTCAAGATTTAAAGGCTAACTAAATCCTACTCAAAACTTTCACAAATGGGATTAACTGGAACTTACCCGCTGCTTACACTGCTGTTCCCTTGCTGCAGGAGGGGCAATTCTCATGCACGTGCCTTTTGGGTTTAAGCTCTAACAGGTTGGTGGGAGGGGAGCTGACAGCCAGCCCCCCCAGCAATCAGGGAGACAGCAAACCACACTCTTGCCAGGCTGCTACACTGCGTGCTTGAGCAAAGACAAAAGCATCCCTTCTAGGCACTGTGTATATTTGCCATCTATAACAGCTAAAATCCCAGGAAATGTCACTAAAGTGCCTTTCCAAGGGAGATCCAAACTAACTTTACACATTTCCATACACAGAAATGACCCATGCAAATAAAAACAAACCAGTCCACAACATCACAGCGAGCGAGCTGAACACAGAGAGTCTCTGGCTACAGACAGCAAACACAGTGTCTTGGCACAAGTGAAATTAAAAAAATACAAATCCAGAGCTCATGAAATTTTCCATGGGACACCTGAAAATTAAAAAATTTCCTGTTCTGTATATGGCTTAAGATTAATAAAACTTGTATGTTCTGTCTTTTTACTACGTATAAGAAAATATATATAAAGAGAGAGAAAAGTTTTTCTAGATAAAAAGCACGTATATGCATATACCAATATTATCCAAGTGAAACTAAGTTCCTATGCATTTGATTTCACCCACCTGTAACAAAATGTTAAATGGAAGAACACAGAATACAACAGACAAATGAAGCAATTTTCTATTTTACAGAAAGGACAAAGCCATTAAATGGGTTCATTTTTACATTTATTTGATGAAACAGTGTGAATAGTGTTAATCTTTGTAGAATAATAATCATTTACACACATGATGAATGGATTTCAGACCAGAAGTTAAGGTCCGCAGTGTGCGACAACACTGCATAAACAGTTCTACCACAGAATGCTTCTATTTCCAGTATTAAAATATATAAAATAGTGTGACTTTTTTATTTATTGTGGTGAGGTAAACATTTTTTTTCCTTCAAAGCAGCGTGCTTCTACGCACCTTCACAAGAACTGCTAACGACACCCTTCTTCATGCAGTCAATAAGTACACACCTAGTGGCATATTTATTGCCATTCTAATGGTCATACATTTTTTTCCTTGAGCAATATGTAGAGAAAGGAATGGAGAAGAAAACACCTACAGTAATTGATGATAGCACTATCTATACCATTTGTGTCAAGAGCCAGAGATTAGTGTAGATAATTTATTTTGAATGTAACAGTTTTAATGGAAACGTCAAGAAAAATTTATTTACATTTTTCTAAGTAGGACACAGTATTGATTAGAGCTGCTCAAAAATCACAATTAAGAATTTATTAGACAAATTTTTACCTCTCTGCCCATTTACAAGACCAGATCATAATATCCACTCATTTGTACACTGTTCAAATTTATTGATGATTTTCAGTACGTAATTCCTGGGCTGAGTGAGATATGTACCCAGTTCTTTAGTTACACAAGCCATTTGGTATTGCCTTCTGTTCCCTGAATGAATGATTTGTGTAACGAACAGCTTGAATTTTGACTGTTACAAAAGAATATATAATCAATCTTGGTCAATATCTGAGTACTGAAACTTTTTTTTTTTTTCCTTGTACATATTTTTACTGATGCCTGAGAAATCAAATACTTTAAAAATGGAAAAGTTAATTTGTGTTTTATTCCCAATACATCAGAAATGGTTTTTGGAAGTTAAATCAATTGAAGAATACTCCATGCTCCTGACAGAAAAGTGCTTCAGGTTCTCATCATATTTTAAAACCTCACAGCAGTGACATACTTATAAAAGAGGTTATTTTTAAAAGTTAGCAGCCATTTTCTTACTGGCAGACACATCTTCCTAGAGCTCTCTGTATGGCACTGTTACACCTAGAAATACTGCACCTTATTTCCAACAACTAGAAAATAAAATGAATCACATTTTGACAGCTTATAGGCACAGTATAAGAATGGAAGGTCCTTTCACTACCAACTATTCAATCCCTTTTCCTATTGTGAGGTATACTTTGGCATCTACAAAAGAAAATAATCTTAAGGCAAAATGTGTGATTTCTAAAAAAAAAAAATAATAATTTGAATAAAAATAGATATTGTAAGCACAATTTTTTACATTATTGTAAAAGTCCATAAAAATATAAACCCACTATTAGTCTGCTGACTCTTTACAATATAAAAAAAGAATGAAAATACTGTGAATTAAGTGAACTACATGTGTTTGATTAAAGAATAATCATGTTGATAGAAGTCAATTATTAATTATTGTATCTTACCATGAGTTTATCAGTGACAATTTTGGAAGGAAAGCAGAGAAAGAGCTTTATGGAGTTCATTATTACTTATTAAAATTCTGAATAACAAAATTACCAAAATTAGACAAAGACATACAAACCTCTCAAGAACATAGCTGCAAAATTTCTGAAGCCTAACTTGCAAACCTATGGCCTGAGTTTGCCATGTATCACAAATTAAGTCCACCAACACTGACAAGTGCTTCGAAAAACTCCACTAATCCTCTCTGAAATACCAACAGGAATGATGTCTTGTGAAACACACACACTTTCCATGAGAACATCTTCAGATTGTTATTTTTTGGCCACACTAGCCACTGCCTTCTTTGCTGCATCCTCAAGGTCATTTGCAGATGTGATGGGGAGTCCACTTTCATTCAGAATACGCTGGGCTTCATGAACATTCGTTCCTAAAAAAAGAACATTGACTAGAATTCGTAATTAATATTAATGAATAAATTAGCATCTTCTATGAAATCTCTAGGAAAGCAGTTAATGCTTCAAATTGCACATCAGTTCAGTTTAACAACAGATTGAATGAGTGGTTTAGACTGAGTTGAGAAGAAGGAACTCTTAATTTCAATGACAATTTAGACAGACAATGCAATCTGGCAATAGCACTTGCATCCACAAGAGGAGCTTTGGGAGGGTCAATCCACCATCCACCAGAGTCAGCAGGGACATCCAACAAGAGCAGTGGATAATGGGTCACGTATCAGGCCTTTAAGACACGCAGAAGACTTAACACATTTATTAGTAACAATCAGCTACAGCTCATCAGCAGTTAGTGAATCAACAAGAACTAAAATTCACCCATGTCAACTGAAAGCTGCAAAAGGGGCTATTGAAAGTCAAATATTTGGGTAATCCTGAAAATCTAACTGGTTTCGAGTTGCAAAAGGGGCTATTGAAAGTCAAATATTTGAGTAATCCTGAAAATCTGGTTTCGAGCTGCTCTAGGGTTCTTTTTGCATTTCTGATAAAAGGGGGAACAGAGATCTCTGAAGCATTCAGCATGACACCGTTCCCTCCTCTGCTACTGCAAGTGCTCCATTTTTTACATAAAGAACTCAAATTTAGTTAACAGACTAAATGCACAGTAAAGGGGGAAAAGAACCTTATAAATTTAAAAAGATATGTCAGGAAAGCATGTTTTTCACGTGTATAAGACAAGTGCATTGCCCTCCCATTTACTCCAGCTCACTCTTGATGGAAAACAAAAGACAAACAGAAAATGTAAATTCTGTAGCTTTCCACAGCAAAGCCAAATAACAGTTTTCATCACTGATACGGTCTGCACCACAGAAGAACTTGGAGTCAGATATCCTACTGAGGAAGGGGAATCCATGCTTCAGGATCCCACACTAGTCCCAAGCACCAGACCCTGAGCTGATCCTCTTTAGGATAATTTCTAGCCCCCTCCTCCACATCAAGTTTCTTATTATTTGCCATGTCAAAATGGTAAATTATTTTGTAATTCCTAGACCTAGCAAAATGAATTTTAATTATATTTGGAGATATACACTAATTACACCCTTAATTATTAACCAAGCAAGGAGCATTCTCTTTAATAAGCAACATCTGGAATGCTCCTCTTAAAGGGTGATTTTGGGTTTTTGGCAGAATTTATAAAATGTCTGAAACTGTACAGCAGAAGTAGAAAAATTCAGAAGTCTGTTTCATCAGTGTGCTCAAGTCAGGATTCCCACTCCCAGCACTGAGAGAGGCCAAAGCCATGTCTGCCACAGCAGGTCCCAGCACTTTGTGAGAGGAGAGGCAGGTGTCTGGGAGAGGAACGTGGGACCCCATCTGCTAGCTGTTTCAAAGCCCTGGTAGAAGAGGTCATGCTTCCCATCGATATGCAGAGGACACACCGTGGGACTTGTGTAGAAGGTCAAAGACATCTGAAATCTCTGACAGAAGGGGGATTTGGTTGCATAGTAACATCCAGAACTGTACAGGACTTTTCCTACAGAAAAAAAATACAATATCATGGGCAAAAATGAACATACTATTTGATTTTTTCCCAACCATCCTACATAAAGTAATGTGGAAGCTGCTGATTGCCAGTACAGAACTGTATAGGGAAGTCAGAAGGCATTAGAAAACTTCTCTTCTCTGTTAAGCTCCTCACATTTATACAGCAATTTTCACCAAGGTTTTATCTATTATTTAGATACAAGTGTGATAAACATTTAAAACAGTCAAGATTGTACTGATCTCTCAAATAGGATTCTATAAGACAAAGTGTTGTAGGGAGAAAAAAATTGAAAGAGGGGAAAAAAATTCCTGGAAATTTTCCCACAGAGAAAAATATGATGCTGTTTGTGATAGCCATGTATTTAAAACTAACTTTTGCTCTTCACTAAGTGGCCAATATTAATTTACTAACAGGTCAGAGTGGGAGCAATACATTGGATCTGTTCTGCACTGCATTGATTGCTCTACACACCACTTGTCTAACATGCATTACAAAATCAATACAAAACACAGTCCACCAGGAAGGGAGGGGGGAGTTTATGCAGACAAATGAAAATATGAAAGCTTAAAAAAATCTCACTGCAGTCAAAAGATTAAGGGCACACTTTATATTTATTAAATAAAATACTGTCCTATAGGCAGGCCATAGAACTAAACATACTTTTCAGCAAACATTTCCTTTGCTGTAATTTTCTTTTTTTAATGATAGTTTTTTATCCCATTGTGATAACTATTTTAGATACATGGAGAATTACAGAAATTATAATGAGATCTTGCTGAAAGCAGAGGTAATAAGAGTGGTAAATTTAAATATTCAGAAAACCCTGGAAACATTTAAGAATCTACAAAGGGTATCATCTTATTGCAGTCGATGTTAAAATAAACAAATAAATAATCCCAGTATTCTAACATTAACCTCCTGCCACTGGATGGTGTCAGAGAACTGTAAACAGAATCCTATACAGAGACTATCGAAATAACCTGTCCTTTACCTACACTGTAGCCACCTGAGAAATGGTGAAAATTCACAAGATTGAAAGCTACAGGGCTTTTGTTGTTGTTGCTGGAGGGGTTTTTTTGTCATTGTTGTTAATTTGGGGGTTTTTTGTGTGGGTTTTTTTGTTGTTGTTTTGTTTTAAATCTGATTCCTATTAAAGGAAGGGTTTCCTGATGAGAAAAATAAGTTTTTCCTTCTGACACATATTACTGTCAATGACATTCCATGGAAAAACAGGAAAGATAATTTTATCAGCAGATACTTTCAAGCTTTTTAATTTAAAATATCCTCCTTCTGAAACATGGGTTCTGAAACAACCTCTCCATCTGTGCACATGCAATCACTCACATTAACACTTCTACTGCCTTGAAATCTCTGCTTTCACCAGCAAAGTGAATCTATTCAACTCATTACCTAAAAATCCTAGTAATAAATATTCTATCTAAGCGTGTTTCTATAAATTGTAAGATTACACTAGCACACATCGTTACAAATGAGTCAAGAAGACTATATAAGTTGAACAAAAACAAACAAATAAAACATCCCCAACTATACTCCAACAGAATTTAGTGATTTATTCACTTGCACTGTCATAGAATCACTAAGAGCAGGCTAAATTTCCACTGTTTAATGCTGATTGCTGGAGAGGATGCAATGCCCTTTCTAGCTTTTCAGGTAAATACGAAATAATGGGAGAAGACACAGTTACATAGATTTGTTACATCCTAAGAAATAGAAGACTAATGTAAAAAATAATCTGATCCACCCAAAAAATGTCAAAATATTTCACAATATGCAGTGTGTCTGACAATATCATTGATGTGAACACATTGTGACCAAGTTACATTATCACTAGCAATGGTTCTGTTTTGATATGCTACACTGATGAGCATATTAAGAGACAAATCTCCCCTCCCACCCCAGCATGGATACAGGTGATGTCATTTCTGCCAGCCCACAAGCTGGAAACCCATACCTGCTCAGGTCTCAAAGACAGAAGTATTGGAGAAAAAGAGACAAGGTTTGAAGTTCATCATGAGCAAACATTCAGTCAACATTTGATTTGAGGTTTGACTAGGGGTAAGCTTTAAGTCATGATTTTAGCTTGGGTATCCATGTAGCTGTTGGCTTTGCAGTTGAAAATAAATCCACTTTCACTGCCTACTTATAAGAGACAATTAAACCTTTTCTATTCTGTTCACATAATCTGCCTTTTTTCTATCTTAAACTTTTCCTAAAGAAGATTTTAATCTCCTTCTCTGCCCTATGTTTACATCCAAATTGGGAAAGACTGAAGCACATTTAAATATGTGCTAAATGTTTAAACCCAAGATATCTAAAGAGGTTGATACAAATACAGTTCTAAAAGTGATTTTGCAATACCCTGTTCTTCTCTCTTCATAGGCAATTTGGGATGGTAAAAATCACAGGCATACATACTAAACCAAGTTGTGAGCAAGATATACAGACTTGAGCAAAACTGCACTTGCGTGTAAAAGATTTCTGAATATATTAAAGAAATCATTAAATTCTGAAGAACACAGAAGGTGGTGAATCACATGGCTGAAAATCTAATAGGAAATTTTGGATTCAGACATTTGAATAAAAGCCAACTTGCTCCTTGCTGCGTTTCAACATACTAAGTCATTCTAATTCCTCCCAATTCTTCTTGTCCTACGACCAGAGAAGCAGAGAATTAATTTGTTGAAAGAGAATGTAAAATTTCTAGTATAGGAAGGAGATTTAATTCAAAATTCTTTTTCATTCTTTCCTCTTTTCATCTAACTCTGAGCTACATAAATGAGAAACAAGTTTTGGCTTCCATTCAGGGCTCCTAGTTAGTTTTCACAAAACTTAATTGAAGTACATTACACTTTAAAGAGGAAAAAAAGCTGCATAAAACAGCAGACGTTAGTTTTCTACATCTGTAAAGGATAAAATTTGGAATATGTAGTTTCTCCATTTGTCCGTGAGCTTTTTAAACAACAATAATCCCGCGTCTCAGCTGGTGAGTTCTTTACTGATAAGGCAAGTAAATACATGTAATTATAAAGTTACCATTTTCAAAGAGGAGAGTAATCCTTTCTTTATCCACTGGTAAAACAGCTTGTAATTATTATACAACTGAGAACAAAGATTTGTCCACAGAATCCTGCTAAATCAAGACAGATTTGACTGATTAAAACTCTAGTCATCAAGACATTTGTAATACAGTGCATGTGGGCAAAGAGTCTTTAAAGTGCAGGTCACAAATCTGTTACATTGATGGGAATAAACCATGAACCTTCTGTTGGAAAAATGTTCAAAATGAAAATCCAAAAAAGTGCTTGTCCCTTTTTCTCCTTTTAAAGCGTAAAATGTTATTGGTGATGTTTTAAAATCTTGGGTAGCCTTATTACTTCCACAGTACTCATTATTAATTCAAAATCCTCACGTTTGGATAACCCAGTGTGAGTTCAAAGAAGAACAACGAAGATGATTAAGGATCCAGAGGGACTGATTTCTGAGTTAAAGATTAAAGGAATCAAATATATATATATATATATTGCTTGGTTGAGTGATTAAGGACACAGAGAAAGCAGGAGTTACATGCTATCAGTTTCTAAGTACATCATCTGAAGGCTATAAACATCACAGCTCTTTGTTTAGGATGAATTGATGGGTAACACTAGGAATAAAGGAAGGAATTAAAAACCTTTTGAGATAAATATGCAAAACTGAAAGTTTGCTGTATTATACCAGGACAGAGTTTCGTAAAGAAAATGCGGTATCACCTAGATAAAGAGTAAGCAATTATAGAAAGATGACCAAGAAAAGATGTTTGCATTAAAATCTGTTAGACATTCTGATAGGCCTCCGTGGATGAAGCAGCACACAACTCCCATAAAGGTCACAGGCATGAAAGGAACAGGCACCATGGAGTCACCTCTGCGGGGCTTTGTGCAGCCCCCAGGCAGAAGCTCCCCCGCTTCTCACCTTCTCCCCTAGACAAACCTCAACAGTGCAGTAACACCAGGACTCTCCTCATTCAGTCCAGGGACTACTTTACCTCTTGCAATCTCCCAGAAATCACATTAAAAAAACCTAATTCACCCTTACTTGTGTACAATCACAGTACTGCAGAAAGCTGAAGAAAACCCAGTGGCAGACCTAGCAGACTGCAGGTTAAAACAAGCAAGCTGATTTTCTTGTTTCTCTTTTACTCAAGTCTCAAAGACTGCCTAAGAAACAACTTGCAACTATCTTGTTTGTAAGGAAAAGGAAAAGCTTTTCCAACATCTTTGTTTAAAAAATAACAGCTGTAATAGTCAAGCAAGTCTTTTGGTTCTGATAAACTTTTTGCTAGCTGTGACAGACAGGAAAGGTTTTTACCCATGACAAAAAGCTATAACATTGCCTAGATCTGATAAACAACAAGATTCTATATTATGAAACTTTCTGGCTTCTAACCAACACACATCAGTCTCTCCTTTATCCATATGAAACTATCTGCTTACTCTACTTAGTGGTGCTACATCATCCAAAGAAAATTTTCAGAATTTGTTTCTAAAATCCATTTGAAAGTATATAAATTTTCCTACACTTGCTACAGCAAAAGGCAACCCATGATAAACCAAGAACACACTCTGGAAAGCATTCAAACCCTGCACTGCAACACACAGCACAACTTTTACAGGACAAAAATGTGTCACAGGCTGCGGGTAACCCGATATGAACTATATATAATGTGTAATGTAGCAAGAGAATGGGTGAGAAAACCCTGCTTTCTCATGTACCCACCTACCCAAAGGGCTTCATGGGTAACCTGCATCCTCATCAGTCCTAGTGACTTTATTTATTGAAAAGGAAGAAGTCTGCTGTAGTAAGAACAATTTTTTTCCTCCTCCTTCTACTGTAAGTGTTAAAAACCACCTTACTGTTTTGTATCCCAGGTACATCAAACGATGGATTTCCCCCTTTCACCACCAATGCTGAGTGACAGGACAATTTTACCCACTTGTCACACACCCAAACACAAATATAAATGTTTCTGAAGAACAGGTCTTAAAGAAACAAACAGAAGAAACCCTCTTTTTTCCAAACCTACTGAACAGAAAAAAATGTTTTAAGTTTACCAGAGTTGTGCTGATTTCAACCAAAGCACTTTTTCGTTCAATGGCAGAGGAAGAATATCCCTTCCTCCTTCAGGGTACTTCTCAGAAACGAGAGAGAGAATTCCATATCCACTGCCATTAAATTAAAGCCAGTAATTGGTGCTCTTCCTTATCTCTTTGTTACTTTTTTGTTTCTAATTTAACAATGTTGGATGTACTAAAAAAAAAAAAAAAAAAAAAAAAAAAAGAATATTCCTTACCATTATGAAATCTTCAGGTTTTTAATGGATTTTAGCTGGATTGGATACTTGGACAGAAGAACATGTTATAGTAATCTCTCACAAATACTGTTTCTAATATCCTTCTTTTAATTGTGATATTGGAGTAAATTTAAGAAAACTATACATTGCTGCAGGTGTAGCAATAACAGAATTGCATTCAGTAAAAAATCGTTTGAAAAAGAAATACCTTCCTGTAAATAGAAACTTGCATCAAAATAATTTTATTTGCATTGCAAATCTTACAAGCAGAACCATAGTGCCTGCACTGCAAAATTTCGTTGCTTCAAGTACCACCAGGGACCAGGGATAAAGAAATATGTATTGAAAGAGTTTATTGACTTCAGGTCATGCTATGGATGAAAAATTGGACATATTCTTATTGTGTGAGACTAATTTGTTTAGAGCTTAGAGACTGAAGAAAGCCACAGTGGATTACTGCGCACCTGAGGGATGATTTTCGTCTGAAACCATCAGCACTCACCTTCCAGTCTGACCACCAGCGGTACTTTCAGCTCCAGCTCTCGGCAGGCTTTGGTGATACCATTGGCTATAATGGCACAGTTCACAATCCCACCAAAAATGTTTACAAGTATTGCTTCAACCTGTAGGAGAGATGGAATGGAATAGAAATCAGGTGAGTTTTTCTGTTTGTCTTTTGTTTTGGCTGTTTTTTAAATGAACACAGGTAAAAGATTTAAACCAGGGTACAAATTCCCCTTTGTCAAGCAGGTTCTCAATTATGGAAGGTACAAGCTTCACCTCTGTACTCGGAGAACTTGGTTCTGAGCGTGTTGTTTCTGTAGTGTGTAGCAGTGATTAATTGCCTTGGTCTAAACTGGCATGATAATTAATGTCATAAACACATTATTATGCAGAAAAGGGGAATTTCTACTGATCAGTATAAATAAAAAAGATTAAACTATATTTTAGGTCTTTTTAATGTATTGAATAATGATCAGATGTTGGATCTCAGAAAACACAGTGTATGAATGAATGGACATGCAATGAAATATTCATGTGGACACTTCACAAAACAATCTGGATATGCACTTCATCATATGCAGTACAGAGGAAAAGATGATACACTTGCCCTGACTTGATAAAGAGGAGTAAAAACCCCTTCTAATTAACAAGGATAGGCATGTAATGAAGAACATTCATTACAACAGATTAAATGACAATCTCAAAAAACTGCTATTCATCAGTTTCTGGAAACTAAAATTCCTGCACCCAGTTCACAATTAAGTCACCTTTCACAACATACAAGACATTAACACATCCAAGATGTTAATATGGTTTCCTCCACTTGGTAAGGTTGTATAATATTGAACCCAAGTTTCTATACCAGGCTTGCCCACTACGGCTAGTAAGTCCAGGGACACACCTTACAGATGCAGCTGGGCTGCTTCTCATTCCATAGTGGGGCTAATCCACAATGTTCAGGCTACTCTACAATAAGCTTCACTGGGTGTCACAAACAAGCTTTGCCAGAATGATGTTGACTCAAAAGAAGACAAGACAAAGAGGGGGTTAGGTTTGAAGGAATTAAATATCACTGGATTTCACTTGTGCATGATGTCAACCACAATTATGCTTAACTCATTGCACAAGATGAACGGATTCACCCTGCCCACCTCCAGGTAGCCCGACTCATACCAGCACCAAGAAAATTCCCTGCAGTCACACACGTTTATAACTCTGCACAATCCGGTTTAATATTTCTCTGCAGACAAAATGTGACAATTAACTCCTGAGATGTGCAGTCACACAGATTGAAAGCTCACCACTGTCAGTAATACTGCTGTCCACAATGCAGCAATAAAAAAGGAAAAAAAAACCCCAAAACTCAACAAATACTTTATTTCCCACAGGAAATCAGCTCAGTCCTTAAGCAGTACTCTAGATTGCAAAAACATAACTTACTATAAGCATATGCAGTGTTTACATTGCACTATCAAACTCCAGTTGTAAAACAAAGACGCAATGGGACCATCTTGTTGGCATCTCTCATCACCTACTGCTCCTTCCAGCTCTGAGACTTCTCACAGTGCCACCCGAAAGTGGACAGAACAGTTCCCCTCTGACCATACGGTACACAGCCCCTTTTTCTCCTCTCAAGTTTATTAAACACCAACTCTTTCATCTCATTTTCCAGTGCTGATGCTGCCTACCCCTGCTACTTGTCTCTTACTATTTGCAGTGGAGCCATCCAATTAAGATTTGCTCACTCTTCTGGGCATCCTGATACTATAAACACAATTCTCATGTGTCTTTTCAAAGCAAAAAAAACATCCCTAATGCTATATAAATAGAACAATAATTAATAATAAACTCCCTTAAAAAATCCTGATATACAAATTTCTCCCTCTGAAATTAGGTTTGATTATTCAGTATACATGACACCAACTGCTTCAGTTCATCAAAGTCTGCACAGTAACAGCCTGCATATGGGTCATGATACGGCTTCTTCATCACAGCGAGAGCATCAGAATGTATCAGAAGGAAATTAATAATCCAGTCAAAACACAACATACAATTTAATTGATTTTATAACTCTTTCTTATAGTTCAGACATGAGTCAACACTTTACTGTCATGTTAAATGCATGCATTCACCAGTTTAGGGTTTTCTAGATATTAAGTTGGGGATGCCATTGCAATTATTTATTTCACCTTAACTCTGTAGAAGCTGCCACCAGTACAACCTTAGAAGGTCCCTTCTCTGACTTGCTCCTACTGCTTGTGCGTGTGCAAACATTAGGAGGTAAAAACACGTAAAGTAAAGACAGAGCCCTTCAAACTCTTATCACATTTTTATGGTAAAGAAATGCCTATAGCAAAGCACTTTGATGTTAACACACACCAGTGATGTGTTCTATCAGCAGGACAAGCCACAGACACTGCTCAGCCCTTTCTAATACAAGTTCCTAATTCAGAGACATTGCACCAGACACGTGACAGATCAACTTAACCAAGTGTGTTTACATTATTAGAGCTAAGGAGGAGGATTTTATGCCCAGTACAGATATTTTAATTCCTAATGCAGACATTCTCATTTAAGGATCTGTTTTTCAGCTTTCAAGCTGAATTCTAATCAGGTCTTCTAATCCGTCAGCAGCAAAAGGAAAAAAAAATGTTGAAGGAAATTAGATGCAGCTTGGATAATTGATGTTTGTATGCTTGGCTTTAATAAAAATACACTGCTAAATTAGAGAGGAGTCTAAAAGGATTCAATCAATAAGAAACTGAATCAGGTAGAGAATTCAATCTTGGGTTTTATTGTAATCTTCCAAATAAGCCAAAAGATCAGTCCAAAAGATGCCGAGATTCACTTTAACTCCGCTGAAATTCGTCAGCGTTGTTTATATATGCTTCTGTAGCCTGACGAGATCTTCCATTTCCAGCTGAAAGAACTTTAACATTCAGACTCAGTAGACAGATAAAAAGGTTTTCACTATTTCATGTGCACAGAGAATGCATAATCTCTGTATTATTTAAGTCTATAAGAAAAATAAAATCCCCATTGTATACCAGAACATATTAACGTGCTCAGTATCTAGTGTACATGGAACATTTGACATATTAAAAGGAGGGTAAACTGTCTACATACAGGACAGTTTACTTGATAGCATTATTATTCTAATAGCCCTTTTTACCCAACAACATGCCTTATAAAATTATTTTCTATTTCAGTGACATTATTAAGGAAACTAAAGATAGCAGTGTATTCACAGGTTAGGTGCTTTGCATCCACCAAAACAACTGATAGATGTGAAACCACCATCAGATGTACTCACGACTGATTATGGACTGCTCTGGAGAAATAAGGGAACCCACAAGAAGAGACATGATCATCAACAGAGTTCACAACCAGAGTCTGCCAGGTCTAAGTGCCAATGGTGGGAAGCAAAAGTGATAACAACTAAGCGAGTGCTGCATTATCACGACCTTCACACTAGATACGGTATTAAATCTTTGCAAATGCTGGAATATCCATTAATCTCACAGCTCCTAAATTCTATATGCACATACATGCAGGGACACAGACATTTTTTTTTTCTCTTTATATAAAAAATTAAATATATTTATGCACAGTTATATCTATATAAAATCTATGTTGGTTTATTAATAAAACAGTTTTAATTTACAGTGACTTTTGTTAAAGTGAGCCTTGACAAAGTCTGCAATTCCATTTTGAATGTTTGGCACCAAAAAAACCCAACCCCAAGTAAGGGTAATTGCATTCTAACTGAAGTAATGGTGCTAAAGGATTACTGTTAGAATTGTATTGGATCACTGACATAACCCACAAGGCTGCCAGGTTCCACACAACTAAAGGTATTTTATATACAGCAGACACAGCTTTAGCGTACCTGTCTGCACCCTAAAAAACAGATATAGTATGTGTGCATTTACTATATTTTCTTCTCCCCCCCCACCCCTAAAATATTCTTAGACTTAACAAAATGCACACTGACATCTGATCATCCTACACTTAATACAGGCAGCATCTATAAAGCATTCCACCTTTCCTATAGCCCATTTATAAATCTATACACAGGACGTCTCGCTGTCTGCAGCCGCTGCGTTCCAGTCTGCTGAATATCCTTCAGAGTCCACCCTAACACCACAAATTCTACACGTAAAAAGAGAGAGAGGACAAAAACTTGACACTTGCAAGTTGTTATTTCTCTTTCATTTTCTACTTCTGTTATTACCACAGAACAATTACAACAGGTTTAGGATAACAATGTAGCGTAGCACTGAACAGTGGCAGATATTTCATACAAGGTAAAGCTCTGAATCTCACATAAAAGAGAAAACCAAACATGAATGCAAATTAACTTAGGCTGAGCTTTCATACTCATTTGAAGACGATCTAAAGTATGGGCAGCCACCAAAGAAGCTGTCTTGCTTTTCCATCCCTCCCCCTGCACATAAACACCCCTCTCCTGTGCTCATATTAGCATCTGAGCCATGCGGATGCCAAAGCAGCTCCAGGATCTGACTGACCCTGCAGACACATAAACGCTGGTGCTGAAGCGAGGAAGAACCCCCAACATGCTGTTAGACCCGGGATGAGGTAGGAATGTGTAAGACAACTGAGAAACCACTTTCCTAACTACTGCCTTTCAGGATCAGAATGAATATTAGTTATGTACAAAGAGGTGAGGCCAGAAATACAACTAGACAACCGACCAATAAAAATCAAACCCCAAATCACCAAGACCATGATTGTACAGCAGATCTCTTCTGAATACTACTGAAAATGTACACTGGAACATAAGTGGTTTTGTTTTGTTTTGGTTTTTTTGAATGTGTTTTAAAACACGTGTTTTAACAACATATTTCAGGATGGCTGACATAAATATAACTCAAAAACATAATTATTCCAACATTCAAATCCCTTTAATCAAGGTTTCCACTAGTGTATTTTTTGTTAAAAGCTCTTTCAAAAAAACACCACGTTATCTCATCTGATGACAGCAGGAAAGACTTGCAACAGTCTTCCCACTATTATCAGTGTCAGATGCACGCCTGGTGACTTTGTACGCATCTTTTCCCTTATCTGCGCACACAAATGCATGAACACTCACAAAGTA